ATGACCCCTTAGGCGGGACCAATTTTGAACCCAAGGATTCTTTTTGAACAAACTTTGTAGACACCCACTAGAAGATGTTTCATGCTAAACATCTAAGCTCTAGCTCTTTGGGTTTCTTTAAACAAGAGGGCTCTAATGGCCCTCAGTCGCTCACCAAAACAACTGCTTTTCAGTGTTGGAATTTTTTTTTCAAACGAACTTGCTGAAAGGCATCTCCAGCTCTTTCAGCAAGTTCAGCTCAACTTTAATTTGCCCCTCTAGTAATATACTTTCACAACACTGATTTTTTTTTCTTCTTTATAATAAACAATAATGCCACTAAGATGCATCTAACCCATCATTTCATTATTCACTATATAAATTGAAATATTTTGCCCTAATAGTTTGGAAAGGCTTTGTTAAAAATATCTATGTTGCAAGTGTGTACCTGTGAGACTATGTAGGATAAATGCACAATAAATGACCACTAGAGCAGGGTTAATTTTGATGGGATAATTTTTTTATAGCTTTTGTGAATGAATACACAAAATGTCACATGCAAAATATGTAAGGGGAAGATGTTTAAAACTTTAGTTTGGGACAACCAATTTTTTATACATGTACATTCTATATGGTAACATAACTGTACCTAAAAAAGACAACAGGTCAAACTATGAAAACATTTATCAAAAGTAGGTCAGCTGATATCAAAATTCAATTCATCATCACCCCTGGTCCAAATAAAAAATCTGTACGTTACATAACAAGAAAGTAGGTCACGTGGTATTAAAATATCAGAAGTAGATCAGCTGCCATCAAAATTCAATTTGGCATCAGAAATTGCACCAATGATCCATATTTCAAGTATGTATGTCAAAAAACAAGAAAGTAGGTCAAATGGTGTCAATAATATCAAAAGTAGGTCAGCTGATATCAAAATTAAATTCAACATCAAAAATTACACCCTTAGTACAAATTTCAAGTCTGTAAAACAAGGAGGCAGGTAAAATGATATCAAAACTATTAAAAATAGATCAGATTTTATCATAATTTGATTTGACATCAGAAATTACACCCATGGTCCAAATTACATGTCTGTATGTAATAAAAGCAAGCAAGAATGTCAACTGATATCAATAATATCAAAAGTAGGTCAGCTGATATCAAAATTCAATATGACATCAGAAATTACACCCATGTTCCAAATTTCAAGTATGTACACAAACAAATCAAGAAAGTAGGTCAGCTGATATCAAAATTCAATTAAACATAAAAAGATTACACCCCTAGCTGTACAATTCAGGACCAGAAAATTAAACACCCTTTCCAAATTTCAAGTTAGGTACATCAAAAAACGAGAAATTAGGTGAAACAATATAAAATAATAATATCAAAATTAGTTTGTTGATATCTTAATTCGCATCCTGGTCCAAATTTAAAGTTTGCACATCTAAAAACAAGGAAGTAAGTGAAAATTCAAGTATGCACATGAACTTCAGGTTCTACAGTATGTCCAAAAAAAAAATTAAACAAAATTCCAAAATTCAATGAAAAAATTGAGCATTCAAACTCATCTTTGTTAGTAAGGTATAGGCGACAAATGTAAACTTTCTTTAAGCCTTATTTTATTTTCTGGGAAATTCTCTACACTGACCTACAACTGACCCTACGATGATGCAATATGGTGTCTAAATTCTAAAGCTGAAAGATATTTAAACATTATTTTATTGTTACCTAGCTTAACAAGATTGCAGATGTGAACACGAGATAGTTCCAGAAATAGATTTGTTTTCTATACAATTGAACTTTGCCACAGTGCAATAGTGTCTTGTGAGGTCTTAATTTAGTTTGTCAACTGAAAGACAATGTGCAGATATGTTTACTGTTCAGATACCAAACACATTACCTCAAATCATTTCTTAAGCAAATAGATCATGACATTAAGACTTTCTTTCAGCTCAGAAAAATTATGTATGGAAGACATTCCAACATGAGTTGTTTCCCTTTCATCATGAAAGTTATACTATGCTCATCCTTGAGTAACATATTTTTATCAAATCTATGAATTCTTACTGAATATGCCTAATGAATAAACTATGTATGGGAAGCTGCATTCCCTATTATAGGCCAAGTAAAGTTAGTATATTCTATAAAAAATAGCCATTTTTTAATGACACTATATATTCATACTATGACCACCTATAGTGTGAAGAGTTAAAACCTAACATATCTACTCTGTGTGAAATCAAACCACGTTTATTTTATATTTATGAAGAGACTGTGTTATGTAATAGTTATAGAATATATACGAGGACTATACCGACTGGTATCAGCGCATGGGGCGACAACAAGGGTCAATCATAGGAAATTAATCGAGACGGAACGTCGAGATTAATTTCCATTATTGACCCTTTTGTCGCCCCATGCGCTGATACCAGCAGGTGAAGTCCGAGTTTTTATTCTGTAAATGTTTTATCGCATGACCATCACGACTTTTTTCTTAGAGATTTACGCTCTCTCGTAATATTTGCTTTATTTAAACATATAAATATTTTTAGAAATACCCACAGAAATACACCCATTAGATGCCGTTGGAGGAACTGGACATAAATAACCATTTGACGAAGTAAGTTGATGCATCTTTCTTGATGCAAAATATTAGTCATCTTTCCAGCTCATTCTCAAAATATAATCTAGGAAATATTGTCGATAAGAATCCCCGTGTATATTTCAGAGGTATGTCTTGTACGCGTATTTTTTTAAACTAACGACAATGTAGTGATTTTTACTTAACTATTAATAATTACGCTAGAATATTGTGTTCATGTACCTGTAGTGAACTACTGAATGGCTTACTGGTCAGAATCTCCTGTAAAACGAAGTAAAAAAAATATGAATAATTTGATCATTATTTCAGATTTGTCTTCGAGGTCAGGATGCAGAAAATGGACAAAAAATGGACAAAATTTCGTGATCATCCATCAATAAGTTCTGTAGAAGGAGACGTTTCAAGGTATATCTATTTTTAGCTTTAGCAACCCCTAAAACGGGCAAATCAAATTAACATTAGCAAACTTGATAAACGACTACCTAAGAATGCTACAGACAAAGTTTGATAATCATCCATCAATTAATTCAGTAGGAGATGATGTTCAAAGTTTTATCTACTTTTAGCTTTAGCGGCCCCTAAAACGGGCCAATTAAAATAATATGAGCAAATTTGATAAAACACTATCTAAGAATGCTACAAAGTTTGGTGATCATCCATCAATTAGTTCTGTAGAAGAAGATGTCTAAAGGTTTTTCTATTATTTTTTTGCTCTAGAGACTCCTAAAAGGGGCCAATAAAATTAAAATTAGCAAATTTGATGAATATTAAAGAAAAATTTGGTTAGATCGTCTATCATTTAATTTAATAGTAGAAGATGTTTAAAGGTTTTTTCTATTTTTAGCTGTGTTGACCCCTTTAAGGGGCCTATCAAAATTACATCAGCAAATTAAAGTGTGACTGTAATCTGCCCATCAGTTTCAGAGAAGAAGATGATTGTTGACCTATGACGACGGACGACGGAGTATCACCCTTTGATATTAATAGCTCACCCTGAACCTTCGGTTCTGGTGAGCTAAAAATATTTATTTTATCAATAACCCCTCGGCAGAATTTGACCCCAGGGCTTTTATATTACTTGGTATACACCCATTACAAGATGTTTCATGCTTAATATCTAAGCTCTAGCTCTTTGGGTTTATTAAAAGATGATTTTTATGTTTTTACAAAAAGCATATAAGGAAAATCAATGACCCTCATGGGTGGACCAATTTTGACCCCCAGGGCTTTTTAAACAAACTTGGTAGACACTCACTAGAAGATGTTTCATGCCAAGTATCTAAGCTCTAGCTCTTTTGGGTTTTTTAAAAAAAGTTTTTTTTTGTTTTTACTATATACATATAAGAAAAATCAATGACCCCCTGGGCGGGGCAAATTTTGACCCCATGGCTTTTATATGAACAAACTTGGCAGACATTCACTAGAAGATGTTTCATGCCAAATATTTAAACTCTAGTTTTTTGTTGTTGTTTTTTTTTAGGTGATTCTTAAAATTTTTACAATAGACATTTAAGGAAAATTAATTTCCCCCATGGGCGGGTCAATTTTGACCCCAGGGCTTTTATTTGAAGACACTCGGTAGACACGCACTAGAACATGATTCATGCAAAATATCTAAGCTTCAGCTCTTTTTCCTTTTTTTAGAAGGAGATATTGTAAGTTTTTTCTTTTGTTTGCCATGGCAACCAAAGTACTGCATGGAATTTAATTCTCTGAATAATTTTTAAAGATGATCAATTTATCAACAAGGTCAACGATCACTTTTACATTTCAAATCAATATCTTTCCCCTTAGTACATACAGAATGCACGCATGATTGTGTTTGCACAATGGCATTTAGTGTAATTACTTTTCAGTCGTTTTATTATTGACCTAGATCACTCACCTTAAGTTTATAAGTAGGGAATTCAAAGCAGATATAAGTATTTAATGCACATTTGGTGAGTCATTTTGATACAGTACTTTTGAAGATGTCTGCTACTTTTATTTCTTACACAATATAATAAGTAACCAATGGACAGGCCATTTTGACTCAAGAAGGCATAATTTGAGAATGTCCGTAAGACAATGCTACAAAATAAATATCTAAGATTCACATACAGTATTAATGCACCACAATTTAATGCTTGGTTCTTTCAAACGTAACGACTTTGTAAATAAAACATGGAATTAACGGACTAAAAATTTGAAAGTTATGTGATTTCAATAAGTGCATGTCATCATCTCAACCAGCTTTTTTTAACCAGCTTTTTTTAACAAAATGACTGTAGGGGAACGACATCATTTCCTCTTTGTCAAGCACTTCAACATCTTTGCAAATTCGATTGCTACTTAATATCATTTTATCTTTATTTCTCTCCTCAACATATATACAGTATTGTGTTGATCTTAACATGTAAGAAATCAAATTTACCTTCTGGAACTGCTAATTTTCTTTTCCATATACCCAATCAATGGAACAATAGCAAAATGCATAACCTTTCTTGATATCTTTTCCTATAACGAAATGCATTATCTAATTGAGAAACAAGAGCAACAGCAAAGCGGAGGAGGAATCATATTGTTGGAAAGATTTCTATTTTCCTGTAAAATGTTTTATTAGAATTAAGTGTTTGACACTGACAGTTAAAGTAAGTTAAACATCAATATTCAAGTTATGACGGTGTTGTCATCAGTTTGTTCTGTCTCCGTTTGAATCAAATAAATCAATTATAATTAATAATAATTAATAACAAAATTATGACAAACTAAATTCAATAATTTGACCTTAAAGGTTTCTGCTGCAAAAATTAACGTTTGAATTTAAAAAAGAAAACTTCCAATATGATTGTATGAAATATATACAGTAGGAAATTGCCTTAAATATGAATGGCAAATGCACGAACACTATTGCTTATACTTAAACTATCAGGATAATAGTTTGTTCCGGATCATTTTATTCTATTTACGTACAATATTCATGAGAGCCAACTTTTGTTACATCTTTTTGAGAACCAACAATAAGAATATGGATACAATATAAATTTATTGCTGACAAATTCTATAAAATTATTTCATTAGATATTGCTAATAACCTTCACAGGTCAAGGTACATAATTATAATTAACCTATTGAACATCTCGGTGTTTTCAAAAGGGATCTTTGTCCAAGAATAAATCATATATATAAATAAATAACAAAATGCTAGCTAAATTCAATAGTTTGATCTTGCCGGTCAAGGTCAGTAATAGTTCAAGGTCATATTGGAATTACTCAACATGTTGGTTTTGTTTTAGGTGTTCTTTTTTCCAAGTAAAAATCAAATCCATAGAAAAATGAAAACAAATCTTTTGCCATTTTCAGCAAATCGTCAATTCAATCGTCTTTATAGTATTATCCCAAGGATCGTTATGCCCATGTAGTATGAAGACAATCCACTCATTACTTACAAAGTTTAGTAATTATATCAAACATGTGGAATTATAACAATTTGACCTTCACTGCCAATGTCATCTTTGAGTCAAGTTCAAAATGAATTTGAGTTTCTGTCCTAAGGAAAGTGTGTTCATGTATGAAGACAATTCATTAATTACTTACAATGTTATAGCCAATTATACCAAAAAGAACGTGTTCGTTAAATACAAATGCCCCCGGCTAAGATTCTAGTCAGTATTTTTTTTATTAAACAAACCCATTTACTCAGTTATGGAAAGAATTTCCCCAGAAAAATGTAAATACAGTTATATAATTTGACAGGGTTGTTTTGCATAGTGAAAACTATAAGTTCGGAAAACATACAAAGTTTAGTCATTATATCAAACATGTGGAATTATAACAATTTGACCATCAAGGCCAATGTCATCTTTGAGTCAAGTTCAAAATGAATTTATGATGTCCCTTGATGAAATTTTCAGTTTCCGTTCATTATCTCCCCAACGGTATTACACAGTCACCTCAAATTTGACATATGAATATGTCAAAGATTTTTGGCAGAGTATGCCCCTTCTACTTGGAATAAAGTTGAACTAGAAATGTGTCGGCACGCCACGGATGCCCCCCCCCCCATTCAGCCAAAATTTCAGATGTTATAGTATGCTGGGGCATATAGTGTTACCCTGTTCCGTCATTCCGTCCTTCCGTCATTCTGTCATTCCGTAATCATCAGTTTCCGTTCATTATCTTAGTAACGGTTGATTATTCAATTCAAATTTGACATATGGATATAGCATAAGAAAATACAAGTCAAGTTTGAATTTGTTCATGGTCCGATGATTTTTGACAGAGTTATGCCCCTTGATATTGACAGAGTTATGTCCTTTGATGAAATTTTCAGTTTCCGTTCATTCTCCCCAACGGTATTCCACAATCACCTCAAATTTGTCATATGAATATGTCAAAGGAATGCGCAGGTCCAGTTTGAATTTGGTCATGGTTTAATGATCTTTGGCAGAGTTATGCCCCTTTCACTTTGAAAATAATATGAAATTTTAAGTTTCCGTTAATTATCTCCAAAACGGTTTTGCACACATTCCACTCAAATTTGGCATATGAATATGTTTAAAGAATATGCATGTCAAGTTAGTATTTGGTCACGGTTCGGTGATTTTTGGCAGAATTATGCCCCTTTCACTTTGAAAATAATATGAAATATTCAGTTTTCGTTCATTATCTCCCCAAACGTATTACACATTCAATTCAAATTTGACATATAGATATGTCAAAGAAATGCGCAGGTTAAGTTTGAATTTGGTCATGGTTCAATGATTTTGGCAGAGTTATGGCCCTCTACTTTATAATAATATGAAATATTCAGTTTCTGTTCATTATTTCCCAAAATGTAATACACATTCAACTCAAATTTGAGATATGGATATGTCAAAGAAATGCGCAGGTCAATTTTGAATTTAGTCATGGTTCGGTGATTTTTGGCAGAGTTATGGCCCTTTCACTTTGAAAATAATATGAAATATTCAGTTTCTGTTTATTATTTCCTTAAATGTAATACACATTCACCTCAAATTTGACATATGGATACGTCAAAGGAATGTGCAGGTCATTTAGAATTGAGTCATAGTTCAATGATTTTTGGCAGAGTTATGCCCCTTTCATTTTGAAAATAATATGAAATTGTCAGTGTCCGCTCATTATCTCCACAACAGTATTACACATTCAACTCAAATTTGACAAAATGGATATATCAAAGGAATGCGCGGGTCTAGTTTGAATTTAGTCATGGTTTGGTTATTTTTTGCAATTAAGCGCCTTTCATTTTGAAAATAATGTGAATTTTTCAGTTTCTGTTCATTATCACCCACCACTTATACACATTCAACTCAAATTTGACATATGGATACGTCAAAAGAATGGGCACGTTAATTTAGAAGTTAGTCATAGTTGGATGATTTTTGGCATAGTTATGCCCCTTTACCTTTGAAAATAAGGAAAATTTTAGTTTCCACTCATTATCTCCCCATCAGTTGTACATATTCAACTCAAATCTAACATATGGATATGTGATAAGAATACACTCGTCAAGTGAGAATTTGGTCATGGTTTGATGATTGTTATCCCTCTTGAACTTCAAATCAGAATTTTTTTATTTTCCGTTCATTATCACCCCAATGGTTGTACACATTCAACTCAAATTTGACGTATAGATAGATCTTAGGAATAAGCAGTTAAAGTTTTAATTTGGTTGTGGTTCAATGATTTTGGCTATGTTATCTCTCTTGAATGTTGGAAAAATTTTGAATTTTCATACTTTTGTGGAAATGTATGTAGTTATTATTTTGGCTATAAATATGCAACATGCAATTTACAAAAGGTTAACACTGAATAATTTCAGTGCCTTGAACTTTGTATAAAAATGTTTTGTGTTTACATTGAATAGTTTTAAGGGCTTTGATCTTAAAATGAAATAAAAAAAAGTTTGTGCAAACAAATTTGAAACTAAATATCATAACATCTGAAATTTTGGCTGCATGCGGGGCTTTCGTGGCGTGACGACACATTTCTAGTTTCATTTTAAGTTCAAAGTCCTTAACTATTCAATGTTAACACAAACCATTTATATATAAAGTTCAAGGCACTGAAACTATTCAGTGTTATTCTTTTGTAAATTGCATATTTCATATTGTAACCAAAATAATGACTTCAGCCATGCTGTTCGCTTGCAAACCCTATAACAAGAAGAGAAACTGATAGCGAACAGCATTGATCCTGATCAGACTGCGCGGATGCGCAGGCTGGTCTTGATACATGCGGATCGCAAACGCATCACGTTGGTTTTGTCATGGCGCCGCTCATATATTCTTTGAAATTGCTAGAGGTCATAACCTTTAGACAGGTATTGTTTTGTAGTTGTCATTTTTAGAAAAATTGCATAACATGTACACATGTAAAAGAAGCTCTTGATAGCCCTAATAATTAATAACACGCAACTGAATATAAATAATCTTAATGATAAGGAACAACTAGTATTATAACTTATAAGCAAAAGCAGATATAAGATCTCAATTTGTAACTGATATCACAAAATTCAGAGTTGTATCTTAAATAGCGCAAGAAGTTACTGGTTGCTACATACAATCAATGGTTTCCTAGGAAGTCAGTGAATGCTTTGAAATTTAGATATTCAGACATTCTTTGCTATTGAAAGTTTATGTTTGCCATGGAAGCCACTGGTTGCTATGGAAAGCAATGATAGTTATGAAATGGTTGCTTTGAGGGTCATCGGTTGCATTCCAAAGTCAACAGTTCTTATGGAAAGTCAATGCTACGAAAAGTCAATAGTTGCTAAGAAAGTCACTAATTGCTATTTGATGGTACTGTTTCCTGTGGAAGTCAATAGTTGTTGTAGAAAGTTACCTATTGCTATGGAAACCTTTGGTTGCTACGGAAATGAAGTGGATGCTATGGTAGTCAATGGTTGCTTTGGAAAGTCAATAATTGCAAAAGAAGTCAAAGGTGATATAGAAAGTCCATGGTTGCTATGGAAAGTCACTGGATGCAATCGATAGTAAGTGGTTGCAATGTGAGTCACCGGCTGTAACAGAAATTATCAATTGGTTGGTATGGAAGTCAATGGTTGCTTTGAAGTCATTAATTGTTAGGAAAGTCAACGGTTGCTATGGAAGACACTAGTTGCTATTGAAAGTATGTGATTGCTATGGAAGTCAATGGTTGCTATGGAAAGTAAATAGTTGAAATATTGGTCACGTGTTGCTATAGAAAGTCACTAGTTCCTAAGGAAAGGCACTGGTGACTATGGAAATCTGGAAACAAAGTGATCCCTCGGAAGCATTAATCACAACAAAATTACAAGAGAATTGCAGACTCGGTTTGATATAGTCTGTACATGAGGGATAATGTATACGTGCAACATCCCTCACACATCCTAGCACCGGCTTGAGCGGTACTCAATTCTCAACACTTAAGTTTGCCTAAGAAGCCTAAGAAGCCTAAGTTTGCTTTGAAAATTCAGTGGTTGCTATGGAAGTCAATGGTTGTAATTGAAAGACAATGGTTGTAATAGAAATCACAGGTGATATGGAAAGTTAATTGTTGCTATGGAATGTCAAAGGTTGCTATGGAAAATCACTGGGTGCAATTGAAAGTTAGTGGTTGCTATGTGAGTCACTGGTTATAACCTGAAGTCACTGGCTGCTATGGAAGTCAATGGTTGCTATGGAAAGTCAATGGTTGCTCTGGAAGTCACTGACTTCTTTGGCAAGATAGTGGTTGTAATGGAAGTAAATGGTGGTTATGGATTGCCAATGGTCCACAAAACAATGTTTCATACCAAATTTCTAAGCTTATGATATGAAAGAAGAAGATTTTTGGTTGTTTTCACTATAAACATAAAAGAAAAATCAATGACCCTGGGGCGAGTACAACTTTTACAAAACAACTATAATTTGAAACAAGAGGGCCATGAAGTCCCTTTTATCGCTCATCATATTCTTGAGGCTATGAATTGTATGCAATAAATGAAAGGCAGATATAATGCAGATATAATGCCAAAAACTTAAACTGATATAATAACATTCATATCTGCACCTGAAATAGTGCAAATGGTAATAAGTTTTTTCCATATATGCCTTTTTATGTGCTGTGACCTATTTTTATACCTCAGACGACCAATATTTAAACTTGAACTAGAAATCATACAAACAACCTTTCTGACTAATTTGTAGGATATCTGGAATAAAAATGTAACCTCTAAAGTGATAACATAGTTTTTGTATGAACTAAATTTTGACCATGGTGACCCATATTCAAAGTTGAGCTAGAAATCATTAAAACAACCTTTCAGACAAATTTTCGAGATACTTGAGATTAAAATATTATCTCTGCCAAGTAAACTTTGTTTTTCCATAATTTGAGTTGTGTGACCTTGTTTAAGAACCCAGATGACCTATATTCTTACATGACCTAGAAACAATCTAAACAAACTTTCAGACTATTTTTCCATGATATTTACACGTCAACAGTAACTCCTACAAAGTTTACAAAATATTTCCATATTTGGGCTGTATGACCTACTTTATGACCCAGATGAACCAACATTTTAACAACCTTTCAGACCAATTTTCAGGATATTTGGACCAAAATAATAGCGTCAAGAGTGTTAAATATGTTTCTTCCATATTTGGGCTATGTGACACAATTTTTTAACCCCAGATGCCCTATATTCGGAATTGCTCTAGAAATCACCAAAACAACCTTTCTGACCAATTTCGAGGATATATTTGGACCAAAACGGTAGTCCGTAAAATGTTTTCCATACTTGAAAACCCTTTTTAACGCTCAGGGCCAAACTTTGAAAATCTTTGTTACAGGATAATTATGATATCATTTACCAAATAACAAAAATCTAAACCCTGTATCTTCAGAAAAGAATTTTAATACATTGTTTATGAAAATCAATGACCCCGGGGCGGGACCAATTATAACTTCAGGACTTTAATTTGAACAATCTTGGAAAACGTCTACTATTCCATGTTTCATGCCAAATATCTAACCTCTAGCTCTTGTCAATTCAGGGAAGAAGATGATTTTTTAGATTTTACTATATACATTTAAGGAAAATCAATGCCCCCCCTGGGGCCAAGTCAGTTTTGACCTCATGGCTATAATTTGAACAATTTTTGTAGAGTTTTATAAGATGATTCTATACACTAGTAGATCTTTTAAGCTTTTACATTATTGTGTGTAATGACTTTCAATGACCACTGGGCAGGGCCAATTTTGACCCAAATTTGAAAGTTATAATATGAACAATTTTGGCAGAGGTCCACTACACAATGTTTCATACCAAATATCTAACCTCTAGCTTTTGTCAATTCATAGATGATTTTTACATCTATTTAGCCCTTCTGACCTGTTAAATGGAACAGAACCATTTGAACAAGTTTATTAGAACATCCCAACAAAATTCAATCGAATTTAGCCCAGTGGTTTCTGAGAAAAATTCGTTTGTAAAAAAGTTGACGACGGACGCACTGACGCAAGGACGCACTGACGGACAATGGACGCCGTATAAATTGTGGTCATAAAAGCTCACCTTAAGCACTATGTACTCAGGTGAGCTAAAAACTTTGTAGAGGCCTACTAGATAAAGTTTCATGTTAAAAACTAAGGTTTAGCTCTGATAGTTTTAGAGAAATTTTTTTAAGTGTTTACAATATACATATAAGGAAAAAGCCTCTGAAGTACAATAGAAAAAGGTTTTATGTCGTTTTTACTAGATACATATGAGGCAAATGTATCTTCTCCCGGGGCGGGGCTAATTTTAACCCACGGGCTATTATTTGAAAAAACTTAGTTTACTAGATTATGTTCCATGTAAAAAAAGTTTTAGCTCTTTTAGTTTTAGTGGAGATTTTAATAAAGCTTTTACTATATACATATAAGGAAAATCTATGTACCCCATGGGTTGGTCAATTTCAACCGAATGGCTTTAATTTGAAAAAAAATTTGTAGCGTCCAACAGACAATGTTTCATACCAAATATGTGAGCTAAAGCCACTATAGTATTAAAGAGGAAATTTTTTTGTTTATGCTTTTACTTTATACATATAAGAGAAATCAATCATCCCATGGGCAGGACCAACTTTGACTCCAGGGCTTTTATTTGAACAAATGGTAGACACCTAATGGAAGTTTTAGAAGTTTCTTTTTAGAAGATTTTGGAGTTTTTTCTTCCGGTTGCCATGGCAATGGAGTTCAATTCTTTGAACAGTTTTCAAAAACCTAAGGAAAATTCCTGTAAAGTTTGGATGAATTGGCTTTGTGGTTTATGAGGAGATGTCGTTAAAAGTAAAAGTTTACGGACGGACGCCGGACCAATTGCGATCATAAAATCTCACCTTGTCATTTCTCCTTCTACAAAAAAGAAAACATTTTAAATGAAAAGAATGAGATATTTGAATACCTGCATACACATATAAGGTTAAAAATAAAATCCTTACATTGAATGTCGTAATAATCTTTGTTTTTTCATTGTCTTCACATGTTATCTTTTTTAAAACGACATAAATATCTAACCCGGGTACTTTGGATTGTGCTGAAAACAGAAAGAAACCAAAGAAAATTGTGAACAACAAGATAACAGGGTTACCTCTTACCAATGAAATCAGAACAGGGATCTTGTCATAGTTTTGCCCGTCTGTCCGCCTTTCAGTCCAAATTAATATTTAAGAATGTGTTTGTTCAAACCTAACAGATTTTTCAATATGAACAGGGAATGAGGATAATAAAAAGATATGGTTGAGAGTAATGGCCCCTTTACCTTCACTCTTTTTTAAAGGCAAAATTCTATTATGAGCCATATTTAACCATAAAATTGTTATAAATGGATATAACAGTAAGGAAATGGTGGCCATGAAATACAATTGAAATCTGATTTTTGAGTTTTAAGTTATGGCCCTTTGATATTAATAGACATTTTAAAATGTCCGTCCTTTTTCCAGATCCATATCTTACTGCAATGTTCTTGAAACTTGGAAGGAATGTATTCATGATTGTAAAAATGAATATCACTAAGTCCCATTATAATTCTACTGACTAATGTCCTTTTATTATCTCAACTGACATTTTAAAGAAAAAACATCAATTTATTTAGTAAGTTAGATTGCAATAAAACCCGGAAAAAGTCGATATCATTGTAAACAAACGAGAGTCATGAAATATGAACAAGAGCTGTCACAGGAGACAGCGAAGCTCGACTAATAAAATACTGGACGCAGTAAGGAAGACAAAACTATGAAAGAAAAATCAATTATGTATAATTATGTATTAAGTTATAGTAAAAAATGGCATTGTTAACATAAATTCCAAGATCAAGGGGAATAAATCTGGAAATAGTCATGCTAGAGTTATGAACCTTGTCACACAACATGTGTGTAATGATAAGAAATATATATTTGAAGTTATAAGAAGATACCTTAAAAAGTAAAGAAGTTATAATATTTCTTATAAAACATCCTAAGTTCAAAGAGAGATAAATCTGTAAATATTGCTTCAAGAGTTATGAACTTTGTCACATAAATGTAATTGATGTTAATGAATAAGTATTAAAACTAAAAATGTTATAGTAAAAAATAACATTTTTCAAGTACAAAAATCTAAGTGTATGGGGAGATAATTCTTGCAATATTGGTGCTAGAGTTATGAACCTTGTCACATAACATGTGGTTAATGATAAGGTACAATAATATTTGAAGTATGAAGTTGGTCCCTTAAGAAATAAATAAGTAAAATTAAAAAATTTAAAATAATATTTTTTAAGGAAAATTCTAAGTTCAAAGGGGAGATAAATCTGAAAATATTGGTGCAAAAGTTATGAACCTTGTCACATAAGATGTGGTTGAAGATAAGGTACATATATTTGAAGTATGAAGTTCATCCCTTAAAAAATAAAGAAGTTACAGTAAAAAATAGTATTTTTTAAGGAAAATTCTAAGTTCAAGGGGATATAAATATGAAAATATTGGTGCTAGAGTTATGAACTTTGTCAAATAACATGTGGTTGATAAAAAGGAACATATATTTGAAGTATGAAATTCATCCATTTAAAGTTAAAGAAGTAACAGTAAAAAAAATAGTATTATTTTAGGAAAATTCTAAGTTTAAGGGGATATAAATATGAAAATATTGATGTTAGAGTTATGAACCTTGTCACATAAGATGTGGTTGATGATAAGGAACATATATTTGAAGTTTGAAGTTGATACCTAATGAAATGACAAAGTTACAGTGAAAAATATTTACTGCACCAAAACTTTAATCTGAAATCTGGACGCCGACGCCAACGCCGGGGCGAGTAGGACAGCTCTCCATATACTTCGTATAGTCGAGCTAAAAACCTGATTTTGAATTTTGGTATTATTACCCCTTGTTTATTAAAAAAATTATTCCTTTTAATGTAAAACATCTTGTCTAAACAAGTCCCAGAGCACTTACAAAAATAGTTTTTTTGATGGTTTTGCTGCGATCTTACGAGAAATGGGAATCTGCCTGCAGAGGAGTACTTCTTTCTATATTATGTACGAAGGGACATAAATGAATTACAATATAACTCCTGATAATATTTGCTTCGGCTAAGGTGACAGTAGACTTGTAAATGTTTAAAGTGCCCTAACAAATTGAGGAGAAATTGCTCAAAGAATAGTTTTATATTATATGTATGTGTAAAAAAATCAAAGCGACAAAATTCGTAAAAAACTAAAATTACAAAAAACAGTGAACTGGCTGACAAAAGTCCTGTAGATGTTTGATGGATATCCGTGCAGATATTTATATGATGCGCTATTAAAATGTGTTTAAGCACAGCCTACAGGCCACAGACATTCATAAAAACATTAGCCTTGATTTTATTTCTGAATGTCTGGGTTTTAAAAGTGAATTTAATTTGCTTAGCTCTTCCACAATATGACTTAAATTTCATTATGTTATCAAAATTGTGCCTACATATGTAAACTTGTCCAAATCCACCTTTCACGGGCTCGTTGGAGCAACACTGGAGAAGCATTTGTAGTTCATTATCTTTAAGCTTGATCAATTTACCATCACGAGGATGTAGCTTTGGGATACCATAATTGTTTTGCTTGTTTGTCCCTTCACCTGGAAAACAGAAAATTAAATGTTATCAATACAACTTTTATTTCAATACGGTTTTAATAATGTGTTTATGTTAAAATTACAAATATACAAATATCTTTAATGAAAAGAGTCATGTAATCCTTTACTTATTACTATTGAAAAGTGGATATGTAAAATGTGTAATGCCTTTATCTTTGTTGACAATTACCTTCTATCTTCGTACTTTGTTTGATATCGGCCTCATAAGGATTCCTTGAAATTTCTATTTTTAGCAGTCGCATTTCTAATTCCTCTATTTTCAAAAATAGGTTTTCCACCATTTTCGTTTCTTTTACACTTTCTAAAACCATTTCTCGGCTGAATTGATTATGATTGTTGAGCTAAAAGGTATTTAAAAAATATGTAAAATATATTTTTGATATTCCACTTAATCGTCTGTATGCTCTTACTCAAATTAACAATACCTTGTATCAACAAAATTATTTAAACCTTAGAACATCTTAAATAAATTAAATGTTTTTATACAGGTAAAGAAGGAACTTCTAAACATGCACAGATACTTTTTTTTAATTTTGCATGATCAAAGAGAATCATGATAGAAACGAATGGAAAAAATGGAGACATCATTCTACCTTTTTAGTTATCTGCTCCTGGAAGTTAGAGTTTTGCTCACTTTTATGGCATTTTTAAGGGAAAGTTAACTCATAGTTTTACAAACCAAAGCCTCGTTAGAAATTAAATTTGTGTTTGTTAGTTTTTGCATTTTATGGTGAAACATTTGTATAAATTGTATGTGACAGATTTTACCCTAAGTTGCCTATGTAAAATGATATATTTTTTATATAAATGTTCTTCCAAGTTATGTCCCGTTTTGATGAAAAATGCCTACTCATCAAAACATAGAAGATTTAACTGTTTAAATCTTTATATACTAACAAAACATGACATAAATAAAATTAGGTATCAGTATCCTAGAAGTTATCTGCTCCTGAAAGTGACCTTACAAAACGAGGCAGATAGGTCAAAAAGTGGGATGGTGACATTCTGATTTTTCAATCAATTTCTATCAATGAATCATGCGAAGTTTTAGCAAATTCCCTGCAGTAGTTTAAATTCATTCTTCTTCTTTGCCGATATTGAAAGTACTAAACTCTCAAATTAGATTGTTATTTTTTCTAAAAAGCTAAGCATATGCATTTTATTATCATGATGTACAAGTAAATTATATATGACAAAAACAGCATAAGATATTATGCATCGCAATATCATTCTGAACGCTATAAGGTACCTTTTCTAGCTCCTTTCGGGCATCTCTCGCTTTATCAAAGAATTCTGGGAAAACCAGTATGTTGTTCAAAGTTGTAAAAATCTTCTGCAATTCTTCATCATTCAGTTCTAAACTTCCAGAATGTCGAATATCGTTGGAAATTAATTTGCCCTTGAATTAAAAAAACAAGAGGGCCATAATTTATATTTTGGTCATAAAATTGGTGCAAATAATTCAGGTAAACACAAAACAACAAATGAGAAAGATTTTCGCCTTGTCTTACACAATTAGTATATGGAAAGTAATTTATTAATATTGAATTTGACCTGACACATGATTTGATATTTTTATACATGTCTTTGATAAAGTTTTAACAGTTTCTATTATTTTCAGAAATGACCTGTAGGGCACATTTAACACGGATCAAAAATGTCACACTACAAAAGGACAAACTTCACATTTGGTTTGACATAATTCTATGTATTCGTGTGGAGTTTTTCTGTGATTTTGCAAACAAGCACATCCATCACACTATTAAGGAATAATTAAAAAAGTATCACTTATTGAGACATTTAAATCTTAATGGTAATGTAAGAGAAAATAAGAATCCCTAAAGAAAGTCAAAAATGACAAATTTAAAAATGTTGAAGGCTCGGTTTGATAACGTTCATATCTGCAACTTTGCCCAAATAATCAGACACAGTGTCTCCTTTAGGGCAACCGCTTTCTATTACTTGGGGACCATACGGCGCTTTTCATGGAATGGCACTACTGTGTCACATTGAAGGTTCCATGATAACCGCCGTATGAACATATCTGTGAATGTTTCTAAAGTCAGAATTTTAATATTTCATGTTTAAATGTTGAATTTTGCTTAAGCCGGTGCTAGGGGACGTGGGCGGTAGTTTGCACTTGACAGTACCGTTCATGAACAGGCCCTGCAACATTTTCAATTTTGCCGTTTTTAAGTTTCTTTAGGGATTCAGTTTTTCTCTATTTTTTGCAGACAGTGAGGATTCAACTGTTATGAAAGCCCTTGGGGATCTTTTCAATCCTCATATACTTCTATTAGCTTTGATATTGACACTGTGTCTGATTATTTGGGCAAAGTTGGTTTTTAATGGAGAATAAATGAACTTCTTAGCTTTTTCCATTAATCTAGGGCTTTAGGGTCTGATCCAAGCAACCAAACAATGACTGATTCTACTACATGTGCCAATTTAGAAATCAACAATAAGTCTAGTTATCCTGCAGCTGCAGAGGCTCATTCTACCTATTTCAACAGGTGACAAAACCTGATTAAAACTTCCCTCATAAACTGCCTGTCTCTGGACAGTCTTCTAATACTTTCTATTGATGGTCCTTCTCTGCCCACCCTACCATACAAAAGAGCATTTAGACTGGGAACTACATTAAAGAGAATAATAAAATAAATTTCCATATTCGCTTCTCAATGTCTACAAAAGTCTGACTGTTACTGTAAACACTATGGCACTCTTCCTGATTCCTTACAGAGTCTACTGCAAGAACATATGCCAAAGGTTCATGATCACTTCCTGTTGCCTGTACAAGCCACTATTACATGTATTATGTAATGTGATTTAGTCTAAAGAGTTAATAGATTTTGATAATAGCATTATATGATAACGTGAAGCTTTGAATATTTTATATAAGATGATGTAATAATTTTAAACTTAACCTATTTTTTTTATATAAATACAAATTTGAATGATACTCTTTGCTTTTGTTGATATCTCTTTGATATCTCTTTGAATAAACACTTTGATTTGAAGTTAATATAGACTATTTAAGAAATATGGCAGAGACATAGTAATTTGTGTGAACATAATTTCAGTCGGACACGCTAACAATTGACTCAATGAAAATATATAGACAGTGCTTAGCACTAATACCGATATAATAGCACGGCGGACTGTTGCATGAAGGATGGAGTTCCTATGATAACCTATGATAACCTGTCAGGAGTTCTCAGAAAACGTTACAAATTTCGTAGGAAAACTTTCATATATATCAAAGGAAGACTAGTCAAAAACGGTAATTTTCATCTTTAAAAAAAAAGAGTTTGAGGTGCTTAATTAATGATTACGTATGCTTTACATATTGTAGTATGTGTAAGAAAAGACTTTATAGCCAATTTTTCATCGCCTCTCGTTTAAAATTTGGTCTTTTTTAGTAAAAATTTCCAAATTTTTTGCTCATTTGTAGATATTGACTTCTTCATTGTCATACATAACTAACTAATTACAATGAAAAGTTGCAAACAAAAAAACGGCTAACAAATTTAATTTATGCCCGATTTTTCAAGAGTTCCTGTGATAACTTTTGTAAATGCCAGTAAGTTTCTTGCGCTAATTTTAGCGTTTTGTATTATTAAATAAGGGTGTAAATCATTATAAAATGAATAACGCTCATTTTTTGCACAAAAATTAAGTTATATAATGTTGGTTTTGAGTGCATTTAGTTCTTTTCCATATTAGCATACGAAACCCGCACTCAAGCACTGTGTATATCATTGTTCATCAACTATAGTTTATGGCTTAAGTTTTCCTTCAATTCAAACGCTGACTTTGCTGCAATTGTTTTCCTGTGACGATATGAATATACAGTAATTTCTTCAGATCACGCGTATCTATATTGAATCTATTAAACTACCGGATCTCTCGATCAAATTTGCAAGCGCCCTCCGGGTTCGAACAAAGATCGTCAATATATTTTTCGTTCACTAGGATTATATACAGAAATGCCCATAAAATAGTAACAGAAGAATTAACGTTTTACTGTACTAGTTTTACGTTCGTACATCTGGTAAAAAACGAGGATTGATCAAAAAGTTCTTGGCCCGATGTACTTCCGGTAGTCAGAGAACCCAACTAATGGTCTTACTTTTCAATATGATCGCCCTCTTCATTAATGCACTTTGCCCAGCTTCAACTTGTTTAACCCTTCAAAATAGAACTCTCTATTTTGGTCCTCAAAGAGCTCGTTGATCGCCTACATGACACCTTTATTGCTTCCAAACGTCTGCCATGAAGCTTGATTTTCAGTTTCGGAAAGAGGAAGAAGTCAGAGGGGGCCAAGTCCAAAGAATATTGGGGATGGGGAAGAATTTCAAAACCGCAGTCAGTTGCAGCAGCTATCGCAACTTGGGATGTGTGAACAGGCGCATTGTCGTGCAAGAGCAGAACGCCTTGAGTCAGTTTGCCCCTCTTTTTACGCGCGATTTCTTGGGACAGACGTCTCAATTTGTCTAAATTGTACGTACCGTTTAGATGGACCTAGATCGATCATCTGACCCATCTAACAAATCCGAACAATAATCCGGACAAGCATATCGACCAAGCTTCATGACAGTTGAGTAAAAAATGTGGTATTTGGAGTGTGTTTCCATATTTGAGCGGTGTTAACTAGTTTTTGACCCCAGGTGACCCATATTCGAATTTGATCTAGAAATTATTAAAACAAATTTTCAGACCAATTTCCTGGATATTTGGATCAAAACTGTAGCCACTAGAGTGCGAGCAATATTTTTCTCTTTTTTTTAGCTCCAGTGACCTAGTTTTTAATCCGGAATGACCAATGTTCGTACTCATCTAGGCAATTACCTAGACAAGCATCCTGACCAAGTTTGATTAAGTCAAAAATGTGACCACCAGAGTGCCACAAGGTTTTTACATATTTGACCTAGGTTTTGACCCCAGGTGACCCATATTTGTACTTGACCTAGAAATCATCAAAACAAATTTTTATACCAATATCAAGGTTATTTTGATCAAAACAGTAGCCACAAGAGTGTTAACAAGATTTTTCTATTTTCAGCTCCTGTGACCAGGTTTTTCATTCAAAATCACCAATGTAAGAACTTATCCGAGCAATTACCTGGACAAGCATCTGACAAAGTTTGATGATTGAGGAAAAAATGTGACTACTAGAGTGTTTACAAGGTTTTTCAATATTTGGGTGGTGTGACCTAATTTTTAACCCCAGATAATCCATATTCAAACTTAACTTAGAAATCCTCAAAACATATTTTCAGACCTATTTTCATGATATTTGAATGAAATCAGCCACTAGAGTGTTAACAAGATATTATATTATTAGGTTCTGTGACCTAGTTTTTCATCCGAGATGACCCATGTTCAAACTAATTCGAGCAATTACCTTGACAAGCATCCTGACCAAGTTTGATGATGATTGAGTCAAAAATGTGACCACTAGAGTGTTAACAAGGTCTTTTCCATATTTGGGTGGTGTGACCTAGTTTTTGACCCCAGGCGACCCTTATTTTAACTTGATCTAGAAATCATTCAAATAAATTTTCAGACCAATTTCCAGGATGTTTGGATGAAAACAGTAGCCACTAGAGTGTGTACAAGATTTTTCTATTTTTAGCGCCTGTGTCCTAGTTTTCATCCGCGATTACCCATGTTTAAACTCATCCGAGCAATTATCTAGACAATCTTCCTGACCAAGTTTGATGATGATTGAGTCAAAATTATGACCACTAGAGTGTTAACAAGGTTTTTCCATATTTTGGTGGTGTGACCTAGTTTTTGACCCCAGGTGACCCTTATTTGAACTTGATCAAATAATTATTAAAACAAATTTTCAGACCAATTTCCAGGATGTTTGGCTGAAAACTGTAGCCACTAGAGTATGTACAAGATTTTTCTATTTTTAGCTCCTGTGACCTAGTTTTTCATCCGAGATGACCCATGTTCGAACTCATCCGAGCAATTACCTAGACAAACATTCTGACAAAGTTTGATGATGATTGAGGAATTGAGGAAAAAATGTGACAGCTAGAGTGTTAACGAAAAAATGTGGGCGGGCGACGGACATTCACGATCATGAAAGCTAACCCTGAACAAGCTCAAGTGAGCCAAAATTGAAGCCATCATCTTCCCTGCTGATGACACCCTCTTGAATTTCATCGAAGGGTGAGCCAGGGTGCTTCCAAAGCATGCTCTGTTTTTTGGATTGTGGATCGAAGTGATGGACCCATGTTTCATCCTGAGTTACGATCCGGTAGATAAAATCAGGTTTATACTCGTAGCGAGACAAACGATATCTTGAAATGTCAAGCCTGGTCAGTTTCTGGTCGTCAGTCAACTGTCTGGAGACCCATCTAGCGAAAACATTTGACATGCCATGGACATCAGTCAGAATTGCCTGAACCAAAGCTTACACCCACTTCCCTAGAAATGCTTCGCAGGTCTCGCCTTCTGTCGCACATGACTAGATCGTGCACAGCTTCAGCAGTTTCATCGTCGGTGGCCTCTTTTGGCCGCCCAGGCCGCTAATCATCTCCAATGCTCTCCCTGTCCCTCTAAAATTCAGCAGTGCAATAGAATGGGGACTCCTTCCCAAATATATCCATGAAGTCTTTGGGGACATCCCTTTCTTACAGAGGTACTTAATGACGGCTCTAATTTCAACATTTTCCATTTTGTCTAAATGACACGCCCCTCTACTGATCAAAGTGTGTTTTGTGTTACTTTATATGTGTAAAACCACGTGTAACTCGGTCAGTTATCTTCAATAAGATATCGGTATCAACGTATCATGTGTAAATGTCAGTGTAGTGGCTAGAAGTATATCGGGCGAGAACTGTGTGATCATACCTCGTATTTTAAAGCAAATCATATTAATTCAGTTTAAAGTAGACTGACTCTAAACACAAGGCATCCAATCCTGAGTTTAACATAACTTTGATAACCAAAACTCTATGCAATAATCTTTAACACTCGGGGAAACACTTACGTGATGCATAAGTTGATTTAAGAAAGGAGCATGGTCGATCACCGGCATGAATCGTAAGGGACACTTATCTATTATCAAATACTTACTTTGTGTTGTCATGGAATTTTCTACGTCTCTATGGAAAAGATTTATACATTTTAGAAATTTAAATATCCCTGGAATACAAGAAGATGACCCCACCTTAATTAGATATAGGTAATGCATACTACTTCATTTTTTTGCATACCATTTGTTTGTTGACCGAAAGCATAGTTGCATACTCCTCTCTATAATTGTCAAGAATAATGTATAAATAAAGAGAGCATGCTTGAGTATCGAATTCAAAGTGTATTTTATCCTATAAGTTTATTTTCTACGAAATTCGCGTTAGCAAATGATGTTATATGAAGAAAAAACAAACACTCAATTTTTTTTTATTTTTTCTTACACATAATACAATATGTAAAGCAGACATAATCATCAAAGATTAACTTAGCACCTCAAAATTACTTTTAAAGATGAAAATTACGGTTTTTAACGTGTGTTTCTTCGGTATATATATAATTTTTTCCCGACGAATCCGGAACTCCGTGACTATTATCACACGAACTCCTGACAAGTCATCATTAGAACGCCATCCTTTGTGTAGAACGCCATCCTTTGTGTAACAGTTTGTCCCGAGTGTATAGAAGTTATTTAAGAAATTTCATCTTTAATCTAAAAGTTATGGAGCGGATACGAAAATGGTACGGACGGGGAGACGAGCGTTCTAACGAGACGATGCTTATAACTTTATTAAGCGAGCTTTTCTATTGTTAATACGTACATAAAATACAAACATATGCACATACTTTTCAACTTAGAATTGCTACTCTAGAAGATTTTTAAAGATCAAAAATATAATTACCTGCTTAAAGCAATTATCAACCGGAAAAATCTCGTGGTTGATGACAACATTAATTACTCCAAAGAAGTCTGTTTCAGCTGCACTTTTAACCTTTCTATACCCCTCCGGCATAAAACATTTGGCAAGTTCCCAAGGATTGCTATACCACTGTTTTGCGTCTGTATTGTCGTAATTTGGTTTTCTATTACGGTGGTTTGCTTTAATTTTATATTTGAGATAGTTACAAATCTTTTTTGGGCAGCCGCTGTCATCATTACTGTTTACTGTAAAAGGACGTGCAACTATATTTCTCGTGTAACATCCTCCGCATTTGCTTCCGGAATCAATATTTAGCTTCTTGTAAATGTCTGTCAGAAATTCTTCATAGTAGGATTCTACTTTATCACTTACGGCTGACCTTATACCCTCTTTAGTGATATGCAAAGCTAGGAAAGCCCTTTCAAAATTTTTAAGTTTTTCTTTGCGTGGAAAATTACTAGAAGCTTTTGAATCCATAATTATTCTAGACTGATCTTTATCACCGGCTGTCTTTGCTGCAACTGTGTATCAATGTGGACATCATTGTCGATAAAATTTAATTGCTGTATCCTGTATCAAAACAAAAAATACCATTTACATCATGTTTTAGTAAACCATTCCTATATTAAACAAGAAAACAATAATAACCATTGATCGCTCACCTGAAATGCAATGTTTTTAAGCAAACTAACTAGAAGTTCACTTGTCACATATCAAAAGTGTTAGCTTTAAGCCCTGTGATTTAAGTGGAAAATTTAAAGTTTTAAAGAATTCTGTTTTTTTTTTTTAAGAATTCCCATATCGGATATGAAAACCATTGAACATGATTTTTTTCAGAATTCAATTTGCTTGATTTTATTCTTATCCGATTTGACTTTGATGGATGCCAGACAGTAACATATATATGTTTAAATATTGTTACAAAATCTTGAGAAGTTAAGAACATTTCCAAATAGGTAGCGAAGTAACACACATTTTCATCCCGTTTATCGTAACACATTTAAAGTATCGGTAAATGCATTCCACACTACTTGTCATTTCACAAAATTAATTTCAAACATTGATAATATTGACATATGTTAAAGTTATATCATTATGGTTATAATAATTGTACATTTTTAGGAATGTCATGGTACTAAACGTCCCGGTTAAATGTTATTGTAAGCTAGCTAAAACAAACAACCGGCCATGACTTTATCTGTTTGACACTTATATTCTTGCCACTCAACATAAGCAAAGGAAGTGTGCAGAACCATATGTTACGTAATACACAGGCAATGGAATTTTATCTTAAACACCTTGTTGTTTTAATTTAAATTACTGATAAAAAGTCGTTGAATGATACTTGAAGCAAGTACTTTTGTATGCTTTTTGTATCATTGAATTAGCTAGTTAGTTCCGCATATTTTCTTTAGTCACGCATATAATATTATTATACTTATATCTATTATAATTATCAAACAAGAAAAGCATTGATGCAAAGCATCAAAGGGCGTCCAAGCAAGAAATGCAGCAAGTGAAGCTGAACTAGTAGACATCTGATGACCAGATATTCTTATAAACTTTCCAATGGTTAATTGGTTTTAACCAGTATTGTATATTATTTATGAATGGGCTGACGAAAGACATTGTTCATTATGAACTTTGGTAGGCATGCTAGAGATTTGAATATTAAAAGTTTTTTCCACAGGAACTTTAATTCTATCAATGTTAACGATAATATCCAAAATATACAGGTCTATAATATCCAAAATATACATGGTATAAGTTTATTTATACTATATAGGGGTATTTTAGGATATTATCATTAATATTGGTTATTTGATAGAGTTTCAAGTTCATGTGGTATTTTCTATGGAACATACAACATAATAGTCAAATAGAACAAAGTATATTAATTGATTTATTTGGGATATCAATCTACTATTTTAATAACCTAGTCTGACCCATCAGTGTGTTTACATGCCTATCAATAAACCCATAATAACTCATTGAAAAAATCGTTAAAATTGCAGACGAAGAATGATAACACTATGATAAAACAATTCGTAAAAATTGTCTACTTAAAGATTGCAATTAATTGTTTAAATATGTTTGCATTTCATTTCCAGCATAATTCTCCAGTTAGTTGCGACACGAATGACCGTTTCGGTAAACTATAAATAGATTTTCGGACTTTAATTCACAATGTTCAGGTCAACATTCTATTTACAGGTAAGGCAATAACACACATTTACTACAAAATGATTAATAAAAATACCGAAGAGCGCGATTAATTGACGGATTTGAATATGTTTACATTGCGAAATTATCCAGTTCGCTATTCATTTTACATATCGCGACATTTCATTTTTGATAATCAAACACTCATACCAATCAAAATGTTCGGCTATTATGGCCGACGAAAAGGCTCGAGAAGTTGCAATTGCCCTTTCACAAAATCTGATTTCATTCCATAAGGGCGTCGCGCTTCGGCGCGAACGCCAATCACATTTTACGTACTTACGGCTTTGAGTCATGCCAAAATTACTGTTTTCCGGGTGAATCACGTTTATTAAACCTTTAAGGTTGAGAATAAAAAGAGAATATTAACCGAATTCGCATTCAATACTTTAGTCCCTGAATAATGAATGACACTAGCAATAATGACGCCATTACCGGGTATCTAAAAGAAGAAACATGTATATCCAAGCAACGCATTTCAGCACACTTAAATGAAAGAGATAGTTAAATTCTTCTTCTTGTATTCGAAGGCTCCTTTATCAGAATTCAGGGTCTTAAAATATGAACGACTCTAAATTCATGCGTACATTGTAGCTGCATAAGTGCATAAACTATTCTAAACTAATGGTTAATCATTTAGATTATCTCAATTATAAATCATAGTTGTTGAACACTAATTAAATCTATTCTGTTGTCCTACGCAGAATGCACATGCGCGAAATGCTACTTCTGTTTTTATGGAAATATCGTATTATTAAAAGGTCCATATAACTGAATGTTGTCTTAATTTGCCATTGCATTGTGCCCTGCCATGAGAATTACTAGACAATTATACGCACACAAAAAACACATTCTAAGAACTGAGGGTAAGAACAATATAAATGTTTTGTTGTTTTTTTCCATTTGGGCAGAACAATTTTTACCTCAGTCTCAGGATATGCAAAACATTATAGGGGTCTATATCACGATCCTACAGATCAAATATCTTACTTTGGAAAATGTATTGAATGTCATTTATGTATTCTACTATCAAAGGTATATTTAATAATTATATAGATTGTGTTTTTTAAATTTTCTATTGTGGTGTTCCACATAATGTTACATGCGAAAAACTAACCTTATCTTGGACTTTGCAATTTCGGAGAAAACACTGAAAAGGCAATATACGTTCAAATGATTTGTTTTCGTAATAAAAAAATCTTTCAATCAGGGGAAAGACCCATTCGCGGAACTTTACTATCCTACAACTCTAAATAATCCCGGGGATTGGAGCTTTTTGACCCTAGGCATTGGTATACGTTGGTTTATTTTGAGTATACACCAAGTTCAGGTCTTGGACCAAATTAAATGATCGTTATTACCAGGGAATTAAGGGGAAATCTAAGCGACGAAATGTCATCACGTATTGAATGTAAAAGAAATTGGCATGAAGTCTAATGTGAACACTGCTTTGAATAATTCAAAAATTAATTACCATCAGAAAAACAAAATCTAGCCAGCTGTCTCTATGTAATTCAAATTTATAACAAGGTATGTGCTACTCTGTTACCCTAGAGAAAATTTCGAGAAAACAAGATAGCTAAAATTCATGAAAAAAGGAAAGATAAATAGCTTTAGATTCTGTATGGCGTAAAAGCATTCTCAGAATATTTACAAAATGAGCATGATACTAACGATTTATTTAAACCAAGAGTTGAACAATATTTTAGTTATTTAACAAAATGGCCAAGATGGCCCTAGACCGCATACCTGACCCATCGAACTCATCCGAGCAATTACCTAGACAAGCATCCTAACCAAGTTTCATGACAGTTGAGTCATAAATGTGACCTCTAGAGTGTTAACAAGGTTTTTCCATATTAAAGCAGTGTGACCTACTTTTTGACCTCAGTTGACACATATTCTAAAATGACCAAAAAATCATCAAAACAAACTTTCAGACCAATTTCCAGGATATTTGGATCTAAACAGCAGCCACTAGAGTGTTAATAAATGTTTTCTATTTTTAGCTCCTGTGACCAAGTTTTTAATCCGGAATGACTATTTTTCAAACTCATCCAAGCAAATACCCGGAAAAGCATCGTGAATAAGTTTGATGACAATTGAGTGAAAAATGTGACCAGCATATTTTGGCAGTGTGACGTAGTTTTTGACCCCAGGTGACCCTTATTCGTACTTGATCTAGAAATAATCAAAACAAACTTTCAGACCAATTACAAGGATATTTTTATCAGAGTGTTAACAAGATTTTTCTAATTTTAGCTCCTGTGACCTAGTTTTCCATTCAAATATACGTATATATTCAATATACGAACTCATCCGAGAAATTACATTGACAAGCATCCTGACTGTGATATTGACAAATTAATGCTAGCTTTACTTGTTAGATAATAGCTTTACTGGACATCGACGACGTCACTTGGAGACGACGTCATCTTTGTCTTATATGTGTTCAGATCAGTTGAATAAACTTTATAATCATGAATTAGAGTTGATTAGTAGAAGACATAACATTGGCGACGAGGATAAACAACTCCAGTAGGTTTTATGATGCTGTTTACTTGTTGATTTACTTAACATCATGGCTGAAGGAGGTAGAAGCTTGATGATTTCTCCGTTTACTGTGGCAGAAGACCACATAGCAACGGTTGATAGGTGGGATGATTGGTTAGATGAACTAGATTGGTTAGATTCAAACAACAGATAACGCAGACCTTATACGCAATGTGTTACACAAGAAGTGGACACTTCAGGAAACTTTGACTGAGATGCAAGTCAAAGAGGATACTTCGATGCGAGTCAGAGCAATGGGTCAAAGAAATACCCATGATGTTGCTACAATAAGCAGAAAGAAAACATACGAGAGCAAGCATACAGATTCAAGATCAACAGATAACAATAGACTTTGTAAATACTGCAATAGGATACACCCACGACAAAAGGAATTGTGTCCTGCTTATGGTAAAATATGTAGTAAATGCGGGAAAAGGAACCATTTCGGGGCAGTTTGTTTCTCTAATGCACAGCAGAAACATAGATCTTTTGGCAGACAGACCAGAGGAACATATAGTAGAGATATTCGATGTGCCACTGGTGAGTCAGATACAGATGATTCAGATATTCAAGATCTTGATTTTGTTGACGATTCGGTAAAACATCTTCGAATTGGTAAAGTAGAACTTCACAGAGTAGGTGATTTAATAAAAACAGTTCCAATTGTAATTAATGATGTCATTGTTCACATGGAACCTGACAGTGGAGCAGATGTTAATGTTATGGACGAACATCATTTTCGTAAATTACTGCGTGATTCTTCAGAAAATATAGTTCTTGAAAAATCCAAACTG